TCAAACAAGCCTCAAATACAAGGTCTAAAATAAATTTATTCTAACATTTAGAGACAATGTTGGCTTATGAAAATAAGAGTTTGATCTCACTCAACTTATATAAAATCCACTCTTTTCTTCTGCACTTGGTCATGACTGAAGCGGGAATGGATCAAACTCATTTTAGTTGAAAAATAACTTGTAATGCATGTTTGTTTGATTAAATCTTTTATGGATTTGTAGGGAAATTCCTTCGTTATATTAATTAAAATTATAAAAAAATTAATTCCTTCACTCTTTTAGGAAAATTTGTATGTTCCCACGATCTATACTTATTATGTAAATTTAAAGAAACAAATTTAGCAATTATCTCCTCCTAGGTGCATCTTTAATTATTTTTTTTGTTTGGGAAATTATTATTTATAAATTTCAAGAATTAAACTGAAATGTCTTACAAATTTGGAGACCCACGTGAAAAAAGAAATTATTTAAGAGGAAAATAAATATGTTCTCACATTTACCAATGTTGATTCCACAACTCCAAAATGAAAGGAGCCAAAATAGATTTACTCTTTCTGTAATAAGTCCACACCTTAAAAGAAATGAGAGAAGGAAAATTTCAAGATTACGACCTACTAATAACTAATATAATCACAATCAAAACCAGAAAATTGATTTACAATAAAACAATACAAATAGCATTCTACCCCAACAAGGGTTTCAGCAAGTTAAACCAAAAACATACCTTGTCAAAAGCTAATGTCACTCCTAAAACCAATCCACCTAAATAGAGTTGTCTGTTAAGAAGAAATGTAAAATATGTTTGACCATATGAACAAAACTGATAAGCAAATATTGAATCTTACTCCTGAAAGCACCATCTCGCGGGGAACTGAAGAAGAGGACCAAAGCAACCATCCAAATCATCATTCTTTGTTCTAAGAGACTTGGTGCCAAGAGCAATTGCCGCATGAAACAGTCTCTATAATATAAACACAACTGTTCAAAGGCTTAAGATGACTTTTAATCAGTTATGTTTATAAGACTTATTTGAATAAATTTCTCTATAAATACTTGTTTGGAGAGGAAAAAAAAGAGTCAAACTCCTCGGGTACGTTAAAATCAACTTATGTACCTATACTTGTATGAAAGTTAGATGAGAGAAGCTACATAAAAGTTGATTTTAACTTACTAGAAAAGTTTAATTGATTTTATCTCCTTTAGTAAGTGATTATGAAGAAATTTATCCAAGCAGAAGCATAAATATTGTTCTCCTACAAGAATTACTCTAGTGGCAATGATATCCAAAGGACTACCTTACCCTTCAATTGCTAACTGCTGCAAGAGGTTTAGGGTTTAGGAGGATCAGAATGCCTTCTTGGAGCAGCTGAAGGAGAGAAAGAAAGACGTTTCCTTACAGCAGCACCTCCTTTCTCAGGTGAAGGCCTTTGGATTTTGAACCTGGCCTTGGCTGAGCTTGTAGGTGCCATATAACTTGGAATGGCAGGGGAGCTTGCAAGACTCTCATCATCTCTCACTGAGGATCCTGCAATGCTGTGCCGGCGATATCTCTCTGATTGAATGCTGAACATGCTTCTTGAGTCCTCATCTCCACCCCAGAACACACTACCCTTTGAGCTTGATGGCCTTGCCTTGCCACTAGCAGATGGTGCCTTTGAAGGTGAAATGTGAGGGGATGGTCTTCTTGCCTTTTGGCCAAAAGGGGAAGCTCTTTTGTCATGGTTATGGTCTTGTAGAGAATAACCTTTCACAATTTCTCCTACTGTCATGGCCCTGCTTGCTGCACTCTTCACAGATCCATGATCATTGTGATCCGCAGTGCTGTGGCCATCCCATGGCCGAGTAGCCATCCACCTCTCTAACCAACTCCACCCCCATTGGGGATTGTTTGGGTCCATAAATGTGGGATTTAATGACTTTGAAGTGCCCTTCCATGTTTTCTGTTTGACAAAGTCATTAGTTATAATCTATATACATCATAATACAAAACAGCTGTACTTTTGCTGAAAAATATCTGTAAAACAATGAACAGGATCCAAGGGACAAATAGATTTATGCTGGCCTAAAGAGTGCATGAAAACTGATGTAACTATTATTAGAAGCCATCAAATAAATGACTTTGAATCCTATATGATCAGCGTGCATTAAACAATGATCATCCCTGACAAGTTATGATGCCAGAGTATGTAATGTGCAATAGCATTCTTTATGTGAATTGGTTTAACTAATTGGATTTCTTTAATAGGTTTGCACATATTACCTTCAGAATGCATTAGTTAACTCACCGCACTAAGCTAATATTCCATTCCCATAACATATCTGTAGAATATCTGTACAATCACTAGAAAAAAAAAAAAAGGTTGTTCCATAACGTTTTTAATCATGCTGATTCATAGTTCAGTTTAAAGAAACTGATAAATCTTACCTAGTTAAACTCTATTTCTGTTCTGCAATTTTTCATGAACAAATGTTATTTATGAGCTATTTTTTGAGTAATTAGAGAACCAGTCTACTGGCTAACGTGGGAATGTGAAATGGAGTTTTTTTTCATTGTCTGAATTTTAGGCTTGTTACTCTCTCTATTCCACAAAAATCCAAAATAAAAATGAGAACAAATCCACAAATGAGGTAGTCTGGCCACCTGATGTGAGAATGAATAGGCCAAAGCCCTCTCTCTTCTTAAAGCTGCTTCTTGTTTGTGCAACAATTTGGCTTCAATTTGCTCCTTTGACTGCAAACTGTCATCCCATTCTTCTCCAACCTGCTGTAAAGGCATTTGTACTTCAATACACATTCAAAAGCCAGAACTCATCATCACATATCATTCCTTCCAAGCTTATTATTGTTTTCAGATGAAAAGTAATAAGTTCAAAAAAAAAAGGTGAGAAAAGACTCAACAACTTAATTTGAGAAGTGAAATAATTTGACCCTTTAATCTAAAATAGTCAATAAAGCGTATATTGAAAACTCCAATAAAAAATGCTTTTCCAGAGAATTTTCTCCCACATCTAAATTAACCCAACAAAACGCTAAAGCTTAGCTCAGTTAAGAAAATCACAGTCAGGAATCTCAAGTAATAGTCAAGAAAGCACATAATCACACTGGTTCATAATAGAAGAGGAAAACATGCACATTACGCTTACAGCAGCATGCAGGTTCTCAAGTTCTTTTTCATGTTTCTGCTGCAGTTGGCGCTGAAGAGCTTGGTTCTCTTCAGACATTCTAATTCTCCTTTCACGAATCTGAGACTGTAATCTTGCTAGAGTTTGCATACTTCGTAGGGTGCTAGAAGCTTGTCTTTTAACAGATTGCCCTTGCACTACGGTTTTCAGCCTCACCAAACCTCTCAGGGCACGCAATGCTCTTCTTGCCTATAATTTGCAAAACAAGAACAACTCGTTATATATGCAACATAAAGCAACTACATTTTAGGCACAAATTCTATTCACATTAAAGAAGCTGTTTCTCCAAAAGCTATACACCTATTGCATCTTCACAGCCTATAAACCCAAAAATTTTGTTCATAACCATGAAAACAAATGAAGTTGTGTACAAAAGGAAAATGAATACAAATTTGAAATTTCTGCAAGTCATTTGAGCTTTCATGCAAAATCCTGCAAACCCAATTACAATTAGAACTTCTGGTATAATAACCAGGTAACTGTATTATTTGGCACAAATGTAATTTAGTGGAACCCATTTTCTCTATTTTCTGTAATTACTATTGAATGCATAATTACAGCATTTCCGTATTTGTTGACAAATGAGATTTTCAAATTGCCACTTAATATTTCTGCAGTTTTTCATTTTGCTTGTTAAGTTTGGTTTTGTGAAGAAAAAGCTAGTTGTAGATGTGGGCTTATGATGTCTACATCTAGCTTAGCCATAATTTGTTGTTTGTTGTTCCCACTTTCTATCTTCTTTTATGCTTTTTATGTTTTTAACAGTAGTATTAGGTACAAACAACCCTTGTAATGTACACAAGTGTAATATAATACAATATCTGTTAAAACTTCTCAGTAAAACAAATACTTTAAGAAAAGAAAATAAGGTAAAATGAACGAAGTTTCTTTCATATGTTAAAATCAAGTAATACCCTTCAACAATTTTATCAAATTTCTATCGTTTAACTTGTTCAAAAAGTTATTTTAACTTGAACATTGGTTAATTTTAACATAAACTTGATTCAATTTACCCTCTTTCTTCTTCTCCCAAGGTGCTTACTGAAAAGTTTACACGAATAGAACTTCTTTGTATCCTTCCATTTCTAAGATTCCATTCCCCCTTTTGCCATGAAAAGAAAAGACATCCGTTTTCCAAATTTGTAAAGTCCAAGTAAATAGAAAGAGAAGTAAGTAAATACCATATATCCACGAAATACAGTCTGAATCTTGACAGCTGCAATCTCTTCCATGGTCTTTCCAGTGTAATGTGGCATACTTGTGAGACGAACAACCTCTGCAGCAGCCTGAGCAGCAGCAACAGCAGCCTCTGCTGCAACAGCAGTGGCAAAAGCCAAAGAAGCAGCATGCTTGCTTTGTTCTTTCTCAGCCTCAATTAATTTAACATCTGCTGCAATTTCCCCCTCCTTGTTACTGCTTGACTTGTGACTTTTCTGTTTTTTCTTTCAATGCATAAAAAAGTAAGAGGGTAGTTTGAGATCGACACTGCTCATGAAAATCAATATTGTAAAAGAAATCAAATTCATTTTTAGAATTCTAGCAACACAAACTTCTAAATATACAGTCTACTACTGTTGACTGAAACTTATCGAAAATCAGAAAATAAGGTCTCTCGCTTCTTTTTAAATAACTTCTACTTATGATTTCATAATTTCCAATTATAGAAATTCTCTATTATTCTTAGAAATTTAACGATTTCGGTACTTCTCTTGTGAAACTCTCTCCATTTCCCACTTTTTCTAAGCTCAAACTCATTCAACTAATTTCTCAACCTTAAAAACATTAGTACCAAAATATTTAAATTTCTATGAACAGTTGAATTGCATAGAGAGGACCTCAGAAATGTGTCAAAAAAATAGTGTTGCTTTGTAATACTCGTTCTGTTTCCTTGTTCAATGAACATAATAATTAAAGTAAACCTTATCTTTTTTGGAATCTGGGCTGAAAACTTTTTTCACTGCTGAAAACCAACTTCCTTTTTTCCCCATTTGCAATTCCTGTTACTTTGAAGGAAAAGGAAAGGCAAATTAGATCTCAATATCAACCCAAACTTCATTCGTATAAGGGAAGAAAAAGATGACCAAACTTCTATTAAAAGTAATTAAAGTCAACACTATTGAAAACCACATGTTCCAATTAATGCACTTTGAACTCTTAAGAAAACCGTTGAAGAAAGCATAACTCATGCATAGACTTGGGAAAGGAAACGTTAATAGAGAGTAAAAATAGAACGCTGTAAACAGATCTATGACAAACGTGTTTGACTAAAAATAATCACTTATTACTTAGAAGAACCTGAAACTGAAAATAAATAGCAAAAACGCCATCCAACAAAGAAAAATAGAAGATTTCAGCAAGATTTTAGTTGTTAATGTGAAGAGAGCAAATGGTTAAGAACACGGTTCTAAATCTCCACTATAGAAAAGGCTTTGTTCTAATAAAAAACAACAAAAAAAAGGATTGCTGTGGGAAAATGAAGAAACACCCAGATGGGATAATTTGAAAAAACCATTAAACCCATTTCAAGATTTCCAATTTTGAAAGGGAAAAACTCCAAAAGAAGGCAAATTTAGTATGCAATGGACAGGTGGAGAATGAAAAACCCATATATAGTATGAACCAATACAAGTAAAAGAGAGCAAAAGAAGAAAGTAAGAAGCCCAGTACAAAGCTACTGGTTTTGAAGGCCAAAAAACTTGAAAAGAACAAATGAGAAAAAATGGACAAATGCAAAAGGAAAGGGAGGCAGATGAAGTGAAAAACATTCCAAGACCTTTGCATGAGAATCCCAGATTCCTGAAAATAAAACTCAAGAGTACTTGGTGTGGCAGAATAATAGAAGAAGTTGATGAGGCCCACAAGAGAAGAAGAAAGAGGGACCAGATCTTGGGTTGAAGGAAACTTCAACTACCGGGAATGGAACATAACAGTATCCACATGCTCACTGGGTCCCAATTCTGTTGCGTTTGCTGATTTTAACGTCAAACAGCAGACAAACTAAACGAAACAAAAACAAGTTACACATATTAAGCACGAAGAAATCAAAGAAAAAAGAATAAATTAACTTTTGGCTGCTGTGAACTAAATGATCTATGTAATTCACGAAATTAATAAAAAGTTATAAAAGTGTATGAATATTGATTAATGAGAATTTTAAAGATTTTCGAGTAGACAACAATGTGAGAATAATGAGACCGAATAACTAATATTAAAATAATATTATTATATAAAGGAAAATTTCAAATATTCGTCCCATTTTCAGATATAAGCATTTTTCTCTAAATCTTCTTCTTTCATATTTTCTCCTCTTTCTTTTTAAAAATCTCTCATCTTATTTTATCTGATTTTCAATCAGATCGAACTTAAGTAATCATGGAGTTAAAAACATCATTTTCCACCGATCAAAGTCTTGTTTAGAGTTAGTAAGTCTCGATTTCTTCAGCTCTTGTGAGATTCCAAAACTTTTTGACACATGCAAGCCAAGTTTCTGGTTGCATGTGTTCATCAGCTTCTTCTTCCCATTTTTGATCACATTTCTGGTCTTTTGGTGGTCTATCCTCATCAATCAGTGAGTTATAGGTGTTCTTGGGATTTTCTGGAAGTGTGAGCAAATTTATGGAAGGGTAGAAGATTCTCGTTCAGTTAAGAGGTAAGGGAAGCTAGTTAATTTAATTGTGATTTTCTATGTATGAAATTACTGTTTGGATGGTTGCATGTGTGTGACTTGAATGTTTGATTGAATTGTTTTAAATTTGTGAATGTTGGAACCTGTGAACTGGTTGGACTTTCTATGCATAAGTGTTTGGTCTGTTCTGATCTTAAGGAAGTGGGTATGCGAGAATGAGAGTTTGGGGTTGGGAGTGAAATCTGGTATGGGACTCTTTAGGATGATGTTAGAACGATTTTAGGTACCTTCGGATAGGCGTAAATTGGTATATGAATCATGTTGGGAGGATTACAAGTTGGGAAGTTGTAGTAAATTGGTGAAGATAGTTGTTGATCATAATTCTGCAGTTATTCTGCAGAATTATGCAGATCGTCGAGTGTCATTCATTGACCTTTCGGCTTTCTTCTTGTGTTCGGTCTTAACCGAGTTCTACTTCTGTACACATTTTCAGTTAATGACTGATCGGTCTTGTGCTAGTATTTAATTGAATAATAGTGATCGGTCTTAGTGGGGTGTGTGGTCTCTTCGTAGCGATCAGTCTTAGTGGGGTGTGTGGTCTCTTTGTAGCGATCGGTCTTAGAGGGGTATGTGGCCTATTAGTAGCGCTCGATCTTGTACTAGTGCTCGATCTCGTACTTGTATTGGTCTTAAATGCGTTCGGCCTCTCATGGGCCTTACCTGTTAATGACCGTTCGGTGATATTTTAGTAATCAATATCAACTCTAAGTGTTCAACCTAGGCTATAGGTGTTCGGCCTAAGCCATAAGCGTTCGGTCTAAACTTAATACTTGGTATGGTGGTAGTATTCGGTCATGTTGTGCTACTCGGAATCCTCTAGTTGTCGGTCAGTAATAGTGTTAGGCCTTCTCTTCAGTTGTATCTATTATTGATCGTTCGGTCCTATTCTTTAGGTAGTGAGAAAACGATCGGTATCCTACATTCACAGGGTGTTCGGTATTGTTCATATATGTTTGGTGATTTCTGTTCGGAACATATTTATATTTATTCCAGTGTGCTATTTTAATTAATTGTTCCAATTGCTTTGATGGTTGATGTATGCATTATCATAATGGTGTCAAATTGAAAGTATGGTAGGATGTTCCAACTGGTATGAAAGAGAATTCCAAGGAGGAATGTCTCAGTGATTGGTTATTAATGTGGTGGTAAAGTATGAATATGGACAGTGAAATCCATGTCGTTCATCCTAACATTCTAATGATTACCAAGTCTCAAGTAGAGATGGGTAAGTCATGTCGTGAGAATAGTAGGAGGTCCTAGCTTATAGGGTCTTAGGTGAGTTATAACGGATTAACCCCGGGTGACAGCTGATGGTTTTCCAGTTACTACATCACTCGGGTGCACGAACGGCCTCAAGCTACATATTCATACAATCCAGATGGTCAAGTCAAGTGCTCGATCATTGCCTGTAATGTATGGTTGGTCATTGTATACTTGAAATGCTCGGTTCACACATGCTTAGGTATTTGTTTAATTTGCATGATTAGTATTATCAATTAAATTACTCTAGCTTACCCTTGCTTTTCTGTGGCCTGTCTTAGTGTGTTTGTTTCTCTTTTGCGATGATCACCTAATTGGTGTGAGCTTAGGGATACAACTTTTTCAGTTGGCTCATCGGAAGGTTGTTGGTATAGCAGCAATATAAGAGTATTTCAGTCTTCAGGTAAAGAATTTAGTTGTTCATAAAATTATAGTTATGTTCTTTCTTTATCAATGTAATGTTTCATTTTAGTAAATTTTTTATTACTAAATTGGGATGTTACAATTACTATATATATTGTTTTCAAATTAGATATTTAAGTAAGAAAATTGGTCAAATATACAATAAGCTTAAGGATAGAGTAAAAAAGAGGTTTTAAGGTTAAGGATATATAACACATAGTTTTCCTTCGCAAATCCTGTAAAATAACACACAGGTTGATGATATGTAATTCGAAAGAATTAGAAGATGAGAAAGATTTTTGCTTTAGGTTTTTATACTCATTCATCTATAAACCAATTTATATTCACTTCTTGATTAAGACAATTGAGTTTCATTAAGTAAGTTCAAGCTAAAATTACAAGTTAAGTATTTTTTATGCCTTACTCACTCTAACATAAAAGTTGAGTATTATTTGAAATAATAGTCATTCTTGATTAAAAACGAAATAGTATTTGAAACAAAATCAATCCTACTTACATATTATAAAAATAGTGATAAGAAGATCATAAAAAGGCTAACTAAAGGAAAATTTACATCCTTAGATCATGGTTAACATCACTATTTGAGATAGCCAAAGAACACGAGAGTGTTCTATTGAGAGAAATTCATAAAAGCTGGAGTATAAGATTTCGTAAGGGTTTTCTCTTAAAACAATCTCATATGTGTCTTCAACCTTTCTTCTTCAAGATATCTTCCATTTATAAAAATATAAAGAAAGTAGTCGTTGCAAATCCTTTATAGTCATTATGTAGTCTTGAAGTATTCTTTATTCTTCAAGATGTGTATGTTCTTGTAGATGAAGAGAGTTTCAATAAATGCTCTGCATTCAACATTAAATGAATTTTTTTTAAGATATCTCTTACATACAACATGACTTATCAAACTCGGGTCATATGACTTTTTATCTCATACTGAGTAAAGCTTAAGATCGTACATGATGAATGGTCTATGCATACGTGACAAATAGTCTTTTGGAAGGAGTTGTTGACCTTTGACACACTCTTTGGGAGATTTTTTATGTTAATATTTCCTGTAAGATTGTCTATATGGTCAAAGGAAAGAACATTCTCTACAAAAACATAGTATAAGTATTTATAAGTTAAGTTGTACTATGTAATGCAAAAAACTACAAATATATCATGTGTCTAAGTACGAGCTTACCAAACAATGATACAATGTACATTACTTTGTGTCAGTGGATATCGAATGACGTAACTGCATTTGTCATGATTTATAACTTAAATAATAGTTTGCTTTTGCTCAAGATGAAATAAAATTTATCTAATGTAGGCTTGATAAGTTATATTAAGTATCATAATGTTTCTTCAAGTATAACTTTGCATTAAATATTGAATGAAGAACATTTAATGAAATCCTCAACATATTATCAAATGTAGTTAAAGAACAAAAAACTTCCCAAAGACTCACGACAGCTAGAAAGTGATTTGCAACAACTAGATTATCTTTCAAAGCTATTTATAAAGTTACCCTTGAAGTAGAAAGAACTTTCTCTCAATGTCCAAACACAATCTTATGAAAGCTTAAGTAAAAAGCTTGTAATCTAGCCTTTTGATAGGACATTTTATTGTTCTTTAACAACATAAAAGAGTGAACCTTGTCTTGTACTCATTTCAAGATGTTAGACCACTTTTAGTTAGTAACCCTATGTTATTTTCATAACATTTCTTGTAAACAAGTGTCTTAGTCAAGAATGGTTGTTATTCCAAAGAATACTAAGTGTCTTGGATAGGGATTATCTTTATTCTTAGAAAAATAAGACTGGCTTTGTCAAACTAGTAGGGGAGTGAATTGGTTTTAACAACTTTTTTCTAAAACGAACCTCTTTCTACAAAATTTTTTCAACATAGAAAAACTAAAATGTAATTATCTTGAAAATCAAATTGATACCAGAATTAGAAAAGCACTGTAAAGGGGGATATAAGGGGAAAAAAGCACACAAGAAATTATATTTATTCTCAATCCTACATCTAGTTCTCATTTTTTTTCTCTCAAGAAAAATTGGTTTCATTATCAACAAAAAGTTTGTACAAAGTTAATTAGAAATTACAAACAAACTAGAGGATTATCAACCTTAATCAACTCCAAATAAAAAGGAGTATATATGTTTAATCCATTATATAACTACTTGAAGGATCTTAACCTTATTCATTCTTTGAATATCTAAGAAATTGGTTTCCTTATCAACTTTGTACAACCATAACCCAAAAACACTACTAGAACACCCAACAATATTACAACTTAAACAACAAAATTGAGAACATCAGTTTCCACTATTGTTGGTGATGACAAACCTTTAGCCAAGGGACCAACCACAAGAGTGATGGCCAAGCATATGCAAGAAGAGTGAGATTCATCTATGAAAGTTGGGCCCAAAATCGTATTTTTTATGGGTCATCAGTGATTGTAATTAGTAGAATAAGTTTCTTTTGGGCCTTATATTTGGGCCAAGTAGTCTAGGTTTTTCTAAGGTCTTGTATTTGGGCCTAGGGTTGTAGTGTAGCGTTTTGAGCCTAGGAAGACGGGTTAAAGGAGGTGCCTTTTAGAGTTGACTATAAGTCAACCCTCATGTGCATCTAGCT